ATATATATATATATATATATATATGTAGTCTGGGAAATTCAGTGTCGAAGTAGAACTTCCTTCTGAGTCTACGTGCTCGCAACTGTGACTCCTACCAAGCGGTTACCTCACACTCTTACTCTCTCTATTACTCTACCCCTCGGGTATTCACCGGCAGAAGTACAAATAGACACTGGTCGAGTCCACTTGTATAAAAAGGGGTGGACTCTTTAACATTATCTTTCTATCTTTTTCCTTTCATTTTTTGCTTCATTTTTCTTATTTATTGATCTTCCTTGTTTGTTTGTTTGTTTCTGTCTTTCTTTCTTTTTTTCTTTCTTCATTCATTCTTTCTTTTTGCTTCTTTCATTTTTCTAATTTTACCTTTCTCTATTTCTTTCTTTCCTTCTTTCTTTCTTCTAATTTATTGTTCTTTCTTTCTTTTTTTTTTCTTTCTTTCTTTCTTTCTTTCTTTCTATTTTAATGTCTTTCTTTTGTCTTTCCTTCTTTCTTTCTTTCTTTCATTTTTCCAATTTTACTTTCTTTCTTTCTTTCACGAAAAAAAAAAATTCAGAAATAATTTTTTACTAGGTGGCTATAAGAAAAATAAAGACTCATTTAAAATTTCACAGGCAATGAAATAAAGAACGTGCAGCTGAAAAGTTGATAGGCATTTGCTTGTATATCTGGTGTAAATTCAAGCAAATACGTATTAACTTTTCAGATGCTCGTTCTCGCCTTCTTCAGACAACGAGAAAATATAAACATTGAGACTGACAAAAAAAGAAAAGAAAAAAAAGAAGTAAAACCGTAAAGAATAACCGGCGTCCCTCATAAATTTTGACGCCATGTTAAAAACTGTCAAACGCAAAGTCAGAAATTTGACGAGGAAATCTCGAGATAAATTGAATAATCAACGCTGAAGGCAGTGAGTTCCGGCTTCAGCTTCACACAAGTCACCCTTGTATCATCCATCATAAGACTTCACTGAAATATGCCAAAGAAGCTGCCTTCCCAACTCAAGAAGAAATGTTTTAAATAGAACTTCATTTATCATTTGTTTGTTCTTTATGGAAAATAATTCTGTCCTTTTCTATTTTTACATCCTGGAAAACTTGTTTAGTTCGTTTCTTTCTTTTTTCTTTCTTTCTTTCTTTCTTTCTTTCTTTCTTTCTTTCTTTCTTTCTTTCTAACACCATTCTTTCTTCCTTTCGTTCTTTCTTTCGTTCTTTCTTTCTTTCTTTCTAACACCATTCTTCCTTTCTTTCTTTCTTTTTTCTTTCTTTTCCTCTTCATTTTCCTTTTTCTACATTTTATTACAGAATATCTGACTTTCTTTTACGTTATTAAGTTTTCTTTCTCGAGTCTTCTTTTTTCTTTTATGCAATTTCACTCTTTCTTTCTTTCTTTTTTCCTTCTTTCTTTCTTTTTCATTTTTGCCTTCCATTAGTTTTTTCTTTCGTTTCTCTTTCTTTCTTTCTTTCTTTCTTTCTTTCCATTTGTTTTTTCTTTCGTTTCCGTTTCTTTCTTTCGTTTCCGTTTCTTTCTTTCTTTCTTTCTTTCTTTCTTTCTTTCTTTCTTTAAAACATTCTGTTGTATTTTTATTTACTGATTTTTCTTTCAATACTTCTCGAATATTCATGGCTTGGTTTGGTTTGTTTTACGGCATATCAACACCTCAATGGATTATTTTAAGATTTTTATTTTTTTCTTCAAAAATGTATTGCAGGTAATATTTTTTTTCGAAAATGAATTTTCATGGTTTCTTTGTTTATTAATTTGTTTTTTTGGTGAGTCTTTTCTTTCTTTCTTTCTTTCTTTCTTTCTTTCTTTCTTTCTTTCTGTTATGGGATCTTACCCATAATAATAATAATGGACTATTCCATACTTAATAAATACTGCGCCTCAGGAGTTTATACGGATTCAAAGGGTATATTCTTGGCCGAGCCCACGGACTTGGAAACCCCACATTAAATTCGGCCTTGTGCCACATGTGACTGCGTGGGGCAGTTACTAAATAGCGTCAGTCCGTCGTTTAAGTCTCGACCGGCTGATCGGTTGAACTCTCTGCCTTCGGGCGGAGAGGAACCCGAAAGAGGCTACGCCGAAGGGCGGATTCTCTTTCGGGGAGGTAAACCGACCCTGAAACCGTTTATACGGGTTCAATGGGCATATTTTTGGCCGCGCCCATGGGCTCGGAGATCCCACGTTAAAAAGGCCTTGTACCACGTGACGCCCTCGTGGGGTGGTGACTAAATATCGTCAGTAGTTCAAGTGGAGTTAGTAGTTCAAGTCGAGTCAAGAGTCGAGTCAGAGGCAGTCCGAAACAGTCGCGTTCAGACAATTACTGCAAGACATTGGTATAGTGATACTGGTCGAGACTACATTGTTCTCTCTACTAAACCTGATTGTCCATACTAACACTTTCTACTTCTCTGTATATATTCCTGTTTGTAATATATCTGTGTTATTCCATATAGGTGTTCGAGTCCTTCTTTATTGGTTCTACCTTGGACTATCACCGTGGTACAAGGAACCGGACCATAACACTTTCTAACACCATACTTTCTTTCTTGCTTGCTTTCTAAGACTATTATTACTTTTTCTTGATTTCTTTCTTTCTTTCTTTCTTTCCAACGCCATTCTTTGTTTGTTTCTTTCTAATACGGTACTATCTGTCTTTTTTTTCTATCATTCCTCTTATTTTTTTAATAGTTCTTCATCTTATATTCATACATGCACACTAATTACACACAAATAAAACAAAAGCTAACGATAAATAACTAAACACTGAAAAACTTAAATAAATCAAACTTTATCTTCTTTCTTTTTCCCCAACCTGATAATGGCAGTTAGAAGCAATATCATGTCGACTCTCTTTTTCTGCTTATTAAATCGATTCCTTTCGTCAAGTTTTAAACACTGACAGTCCTGCTCGATTAGAATATCAAGCAGGAAATAGATAAATTAATATGAAACGAAAGCAAAGGAAAACAGAAATAAACGTAAAGAAAGAACTGAAATAAACAAAAAAAAATCACACTTCCGTTTTTAATGATATAAATGGCGGCCATTGTTGTTTACGTGCTGTGTAATGGCAGCGAAAGACGGCAGGGAGTTTTCAAATTTACGGTTATTTTACTGTTACATGGTGGTTTATCGTTGCATATATATAGATATATATTGTCATTTATTCACTTCCTGATAGTTTTAAACATGATTATTTGTTTATTAATCCATTAATTTGCACTTATAAGAGGCAGACGATGAAATCTTTTTGCTACGCTTAAGAACGCCGTTCAAAAATGTTTGGCCAGATTCAAGGAAGTAGGTCAGACGGAGAACATTTCAACACCAATTCAAATATTATATTATAAATTATTTTATTCATTTTCACTTTTGCGAATATTTACCACGCATATTCTCCATAAAAAGGTGTTTATTCACATAAGCCAACATTTTAAATCTCACTTTAGTTCTCAAATCATATTTCATAGGATTATTAATCAATTTAGATTAGATTATTAATTTATTTGTATATTTCAGTACTTTATTTAATTTTATATTACTTTTAGCTAGATGTTACCGGACCCTTAAGAGATTTATCTTGGTTTCTAAGTAAATAAACAAAATTAAAATAAAGAGAAAATAATTCAAGTGTTAGAACAGCAAGTTAAAAACAAACAGGTATATGTGAAAAGATTACTATAGATAAATATAGATGTATCTGTCTACATTTTTAGATGAGTCCTTAAGTCATTTCCGCATATATACAATAGAATAGGTTTTTAATGTCTACTAGTAATTAGCACACGGACCTGTCTATATTTCTGAGATCAGGTATTATGTACAATATTTATATTATTCGGACTATTGTCCTTATCTTTGTCGCCATATTCATCACAACGTTTCGGAGGTTGTACGCTCCGGCCTTCTTCAGGTGGTTAGATCCAGTGACAGGACACAAAGAGTTGTGAGTTCAATACCTGGTTGAGACAGTGGAGAACTTGGAGAGATGAATTAACAGGAGGTAACTGATATCTGACATCCATTAGACATGGCACGTGGGACTAGAACAGCCTTCCCCAGCGAGGGAAATAAAGAGTTCAGTTCAACAATCCAAACACCTGAAGAAGGCCGGAGTATGTATCAACAACAACATTTGCAAAATGTTATTCGTATACTAGAAAAAAAAAAAAAAAGATAAATCAATTTAATTGACATAAACTCACCAGTTACTCATACAATTATTAAGCGTTGAGCCTGGTCAGTACTTAGATGGGTGACTGCTTGGGAATACCAGGTGCTGTAAGCTTGGATGTGCGGCTGGTGTAATGGATAATGGCTCTGAATTGGAAAACCACGAGCCAAGTTCCAATTCCAGTTGGGTTTTGTTATATTCACTTACACACAAATAGCTTTGGGAAAGGTATGAATTCACCTCTTCTCCCCCTAGCTATGGGTTAATTAGTAGGACTTGTATCAATAAATTATTATAACCTCAATTAATCATTTAATTAATAGGACTTGTATCGCTAAACCATTATTATCTAAAAAACAAAAATTTGCTCCATTTTATGTTGGGCTTCTGCAGTGATGGTGTTTTAGGTTGTTGCTTGATTGATTGCTGATTTGGTCTAGCGGCATATCAACACCTCAATGGGTTATTTAATGCCGACAATATTTTTAGGATAGATTCGTATGAATAGAATATGTATTCGTTGGTTTAGATTGGTTTGGTTTATTTTGTTTTACGGCATATCAACATCTCAATGGGTTATTTAATGCCGACAAGATTTTTAGGATAGAGTCGTGTGAATAGAATATATATGCTTTGGTTTAGATTGGTTTGGTTTATTTTGTTTTACGGCATATCAATACCTCAATGGGTTAATTAATGCCGACAAGATTTTTAGGATAGATTCGTATGAATAGAATATGTATTCTTTGGTTTAGATTGGTTTGGTTTATTTTGTTTTACGGCATATCAACACCTCGATGGGTTATTTAATGCCGACAAGATTTTTAGGATAGAGTCGTATGAATAGAATATGTATGCTTTGGTTTAGATTGGTTTGGTTTATTTTGTTTACGGCATATCAACACCTCGATGGGTTATTTAATGCCGACAAGATTTTTAGGATAGATTCGTATGAATAGAATATGTATTCTTTGGTTTAAATTGGTTTGGTTTATTTTGTTTTACGGCATATCAACACCTCAATGGGTTATTCAATGCGAACAAGATTTTTAGGATAGATTCGTATGAATAGAATATGTATTCTTTGGTTTAGATTGGTTTGGTTTATTTTGTTTTACAGCATATCAACACCTCAATGGGTTATTTAATGCCGACAGCATTTTTAGGATAGATTCGTATGAATAGAATATGTATTCTTTGGTTTAGATTGGTTTGGTTTATTTTGTTTTACAGCATATCAACACCTCAATGGGTTATTTAATGCCGACAGCATTTTTAGGATAGATTCGTATGAATAGAATATGTAGTCTTTGGTTTAGATTGGTTTGGTTTATTTTGTTTTACGGCATATCAACACCTCAATGGGTTATTTAATGCCAACAAGATTTTTAGGATAGATTCGTATGAATAGAATATGTATTCTTTGTAAGAAATCAATTTGTAGGCTAGGTTTCACTGACGTATTTATGTAAAGAGAGTTGCATTAGGCTGTTGATTGAGTGATTGTTGATTTTGTTTAGCGGCATATCAACACCTCCATGGGTTATTTAATACCGTCGTGAATATGAAAATAAAGATAAAGACAACTGTCCGAATGAAAATAGTGTAAATAGTTAAAATACCTCATCGCAGAAATATATACAGATCCTGAAGAAGGCCGGAGCGTACAACGGTCGAAACGTCGCAAATATGACAATAAAGATGTGCACATCAGTCCGAACAATGTCAATAGTGTAAATAGTTAAAATACCTCATCGCAGAAATATAGACAGATCCTGAAGAAGGCCGAAACGTCGTAAATATGACAATAAAGATGAGGACATCAGTCCGAACAATGTAAATAGTTGAAAGAGCTATTGTCACAATTAGTATGAAAGGTATTTGTGTATAGTTTAACTGCGTTAATGGCGTGGGTGTTCGATCACCGTTGAAAGTTTGAATTTCAAATGCTGAATTTCAAAGTAGACAGATCCTCATGACTTGGAAATCATGCGCACCCCCGTCTTCTTGCACGCATATATTTGAACGTGCACTGAATTAAACTCTGCTAAGTAAATATCAATATGTGTATATTAATAAAACCAGGAAGAAGTAATTCTCCGGATAAAGTGGACATTTGTTTCTGGTGAGTCGATTTTGTTCTCACCTAGCAGAAAGCAATATCCTCTTTCGACACGACACAATTAAATAATAAAATTCTTTTTGCCTTTAGAGATGAAAAGTCTGGTCCTGATCCTCTGCTTATGCCCGGTCGTTGATAGCATTCATTCGAAGCCCGGTTTGTGGGCTAACGAGAAAACGATGGCTTTTTCCCTATCAGCAAGATATTAACAAAACGTTTTGCGATTGATAATTTGTTCAGGTTGCGTTGATGGGCAAGAGA